CTCCTACAGCGCTGCCATTAGCAGTATCACTCCACCCCCTGTTGACAACAGGTATTAATTAGGTGTGAACATTATGTTATGATGTGAGTATCAGTCACATGGAGGCAGGACTCAAAAGCCTGAATTTTGCCTGAAACTCTCAGACTGAAGAAGTCTCTTGGAGGAGAGACGAAACGTTTCATTAGAGAAGAACCCGTCCAGAAGACCTATACAATTTTTTTTCCTTTTGATTTTTTACCTGGATTACTGAGATGCATCAGGACATTGCCTCCTAGGTAGTCTTTTCATTCTGTTAGCTAATTTTGATTATAGTTTTATTTTCTAGCTATATTAGCTACTACTAGCTACTACTTTTAGTTTTTAGATAACCCATGCGTTGCATTTTTAAGCTTTTCGCTAGTCTTTTGAGGTAGCTTGTTGCCTCTTTTACTTTTTAGCTGGTCTGCTCCTTTAAGCTTCTTTTGCTAGATTTGCCTAGCTGTTTACTACTTTCAGCTTTTAGTTAACCTCTTGGTTTTTATATGTATAATTCTTTGTTTTTGAAACATCGACAGTATTACAGCATGCAATATTTACATCACCCTATGGTTATTGATCCAGTCTGTGACCGATGCCATGTCTCCATTATCAATATCTACATTTTTCTGAACTTATAGAAAAGCAGAATGTTGGGTAATTTACTAAGGTAAAAACAAAACTAATAAAGATAATAAAATAATAATTTAAAAAGAATATACCCTAACACTGGTTGTACAGGATGGCAACTATGGGTGTGGAAATAGGTGTAAGTAGTGGGTTAAGAGCTCTGGGGGGTTGAAAATGATGCATTGTTCTGGTCTTTGTTAACGTGGTCTGGATGTTCCATTTATAATGTTAAGTGACTGCATGGAACATTTACACCTTCTAGCACCATTATTTCTCCATCCAGGTCCAACATTACAAAATTACATTCAACATTTTTCAACATTTCTGTAAAAACTTACTAAAACATAAACTTTAAGTAATTCTTAAATTTTGCATCAGAGACCTCTTTTCACATCATACCTGTACAGGGACCAGAACCAGTTTTACAGTGGTACTGCATCCTGTTTGCCGCAGTTTAGAACTGCCCATCGTTAGGTTAAATACATGCACGAGAACTGATAAACGGCCCAAATCTTAGGTTTGGGAAATCTCTCATCGCTCTGACAATGACAACTCTAAGTATGCTGGAGTTGGAGTCCTAACTGGGTACAATCTGTTCAACCACCACACAATAGTGAAGAGACTCCATGACAGTGGTCTCTGTGATGCCTGTGGCATTGAATTAGAGACCTCTTTACACTACTTAGACCACTGCCTGGCTCTGAGCGGTCAAACGAAAAGAATTCTTGGGGAGCTCTAAAGCAGGGGTTCTTAATCTTTTTGACCTCGGGGCCCAATTTGTTGAACATAAAGTGGCACGAGGTCCAGTCAGACATTACCAATGTATGGATCAAAATGATCATTATTCTAAATCTTGGTTTAATTTTTATTGTATTTACATAATAACTAAACTATCATAACTAACATAACTAAATTACACTTACAGTTTAAAAGTAAAAGTCCTGTCAAATAATCACAAGACATGATTATAACAAACATTTTATATTGTAACCTGCCCATAACTATTATTTGAACAAATGCAAAGGTCAGTCAACAGACCACTCAGGCTTATCAGCACAAATATATATATTAACATAAACAATAACAAAAAGAGACAATTCAATAAAGTAAATTTGTGATCATAAAATAAAAACATTCAAAAATATTTAATGTTCCAAAATAAATTTGATAAAGTACAAATG